GCGATGAATGAAGTTGAAGTATTATACGCTGTAGAATCTACATTTGTTATTGTATTTCTGATGTTATCTATTTTATCAGTGAAGAAATTCATAAAGTCATTACTATTAAACTGTGAGGGAATATTTAGATCGGGTGGCGTCTGGTTATTTGTTAATCTAGCCACTGTGCTAAATAAAAACCTTGGATTGTTTTGGTTATTTTCTATGAGTTTGTGGATATGCTCGGCCCTGGCAGCTTTTAGAGCCTGTCTATAGCTGGACATACTGTTTTTCCACGCAATTCTAAAAACTTCCAAGTTAGTTTTTCTCCATTTGCGCTCAAGACTACGAGTTTTTTTCTTGAGAGAATGGGTATTACTGTTGTACTATGGCGCAGTATGTTTTTCTCTAACCTTTTTCAATTTGATGGGGGCAACAGCTTCTAATGTATTAGAGAAGATAGTGCCCATGTTGCTAGTCATTTCGTCTAGTTCATGTGTACTTATTGGTACACAGAGCAGTTGAGATAAATCAGGCAGGTTATTTGTGAATCTGTCTTTGGTGGCTGGAACAATAGTTCTGCCCTGACGATAACGCGGAGCCATGTAGTTAATATCAGTAATACGCAGCATGCACGATACCAGGAAATGGTCAGTAACATCATCACTTTGAGGTACGATATCTATATCAGTAAGATCAATTCCATGCGATATAATTAAATCTATAGTTTATTAGGTCAGTAAACGCAAGTCCTAATGCATCATTTGTATTATCAACGTGAATGTTAAAATCTCCTACAATTAGCGCTTTATCAACAGTAACCAATAGGTCTGAGAGGAAATCTGCTAATTCTTTTAGGAAATCTGTATATGGCCCTGGTGGTCTATACACAGTAGCCAGAGCAAGAGATACGATAGATTTCTTTTGCATATCTGACAGTGTAACATTAAGCATTAGTATTTTGAATGAGTTAAACCTGTATCCTGTCTTCTGAGTAACATTGAGAATATCACTATATATTTTTGCAACACCGCCGCCACGACCAGTCTGACGGGGTTCATGCTTATAACAGTAGCTTGGTGGAGTAGACTCATTTAGACCAATATAATCATTAGGTTTTAGCCAGGTTTCAGTCAAGCAAAGTACATCAAAACTATTATCTGTGATCATTTCATTTACAATAACTGCTTTGGGTGCGAGTGATCTAATGTTTAGGAGCCCAAACTTTAAAAATTGTTTTTGATTAGTATTGATGAAGTGTCTATGGTTGACCATCGTCTTTTGTCATACATTCATGGAAGACTGCGACAAATAAAACAAACTGGTGACTACTCTCTCTTTGGAAAAGTCAGTATTTTTTGTGTTGGGGATTTCTATCACCTTCCTCACGTAAAAGGAACTGCTCTCTATTGTGATAGCACAGGAGTGAACCTGTGGGAGAATAACTTTGAACTTGCTGAATTAAGTAAAGTTGTTCTACAACAAGATCCGAATTTTGCTGAAATGTTAAATCGGCTGAGTACATAAGAAAAAGGAATGTCTTACCACTAATGACATTGCTATGTTGAAAAAATGTGAAACGGGAGAAATGTGATGATATTCACATATTTGCTACAAATGCTGAAGTTGATAAATATAACATCGAAAGACTACATGAATGTTGCCCAGAGGCAATCAGTATAAATGCTCAAGATTATGTCAAAAATTCAAAAACTGGACGAATGGAACGTAAAGTTGGATTTCATGCAAAAGTTTTCAACTCATCTTTGTCTAAATGTGTTTCCCTGGGTATTGGAGCAAGGGTTATGTTGAAAAAAAATATTGATGTTGCTGACGATCTTGTCAATGGAGCGTTTGGTACAGTTGTCCACATAAGCGAAAGTCAAAACAATGATGATGATTTCCCATCAGCTATACATGTGGAGTTTGATAATGCAAAGGTTGGTAAAATTCAGAGATCTAAAACATGCCAGAGATTTTCCCAAAATTCAACAGTAATTGAAGTACAAGAAGACCAAGTCACAAATGATGGTGGTATAAGGCGTCAGTTTCCTCTCAGATTGGGATGGGCATGTACAGTTCGCAAAGTGCAAGGACTTACAGTAGATAAAGCAGTTGTATCACTTAAGAAAATCTTTACAGCAGGGCAAGCATATGTTGCATTGAGTCGAGTAAGATCTCTTTGTGGATTAATAATTGAGGATTTTAAAGAGTCTGCCATATTTTGTAATGACAAAATTGAGTTGGCTATGAAAGATATGTCAAAATTTCCTTTGGAAAAGAACAGTTCCTCTGAGCCACTTTGTACATTAAGCAGTGCTATTTTGAATCTACCAAGTCTGAAAGCTCACTTTCAGGATGTTCTTGCGCATACAGTTCTAATGAATGCTGATTGTATTTGTTTGACAGAAACATGGCTAAATGCTGATGACAAAGCACAAGAACCACAAATACCAGAATTTGTGTTCAAGCACAACCCAAGAGCTAAGTGTTATGACAACAGTACAGCTCTTTTTACTGAATTAAAACATCAGAGAGGTGGCGGAGTTGGAATGCATTGTTCTGAGAAAATTGAATGTAATATTTTTACTCCTGAGTACTGGAACTTATGAATGTTTATATTTTATAGTTCCACATGTCAATTTGACTGCTGCGCTATAGGCCCCTTGTATAGGCCCAATTCATATAAAACTGACATGTTTCGACAGCAGCTATTACATGTTATTGAAGATATAGGAAAGCATCCAGGACAGAAAATAATCATGGGAGACTTTTAACGAAGACATTGTTACTTCATCTACAGTTCTGAAATTAATGGAACAACATGGATACAATCAACATGTTCAAAATCCAACCACAGAAAAGGGAACATTAATAGACCATGTTTATATGAAAGATATGGAAGGCATAAGTGTCAATGTTGTGCAAACTTACTATAGTTTTCATCAGGCAATACTCATTTCACTGTTGTGATCAAATTTATGTACCAGTATATGTGTGTGAAGATTCCGCTTACCATTGGGGGAGGGGGTGGGTAGGGAGGCATAAGATGAGGCGGCTCCCTAGGGGAGGGGAGGTACTGGAGACTGGGTTGGCTGGCACAGGGGTTGATTGGCACAGGTTTCATTTTTAAATCTTTTTAAGTTGGCATCTTTGCAACTTCTGAACATCTACTTAATTACGATTTAACCAAACTTATTATTTTTCATCAGCTCCTCATCAAGTTGGGAATGGGGTAATTTGTGCACATGTTGTGTTCCTTGGATGTAGTAGCCATTTTTCAGGCTCCCTGTCTGGAATCAAACCATGATTCCATGTTACAAATGGTCACCATGTTAGGCACATAAAGTACCATTTAAAGTTTATAAGGCAGATATTTGAATGAGTCACTGCCACTGTTGAGGACATGTGATCGGCCCACGGTTATCTAGAGTTACCAAAGCATCTGAGGGCAAGGAGACAGGCACAAGGCCACTCCAAAGCCCGGATGGGTTTTGGATCTGATAACGGCATGCATTCTCACTGCAGGGGCAGGTTGTTGTTCATTTGCAACTATTATCTCTGGAATTAGACCAAATTATTAAAAGATTTTCAATATAGATTAAATTAAATATGTTTCATAAAGTACCCATATTAATAACTTTACAAAAAAATCTATAATTAACAAATGTGTTTTCAAACCTCCTAATGTATATTGGCAAAGATGTACATTTTTTTGTTGTTGTTGATTATTAAATATGTTTGTTTGTTTTGTGCTGTGCCAATCAACCCCATTAATCCATCACAGGGATGGATTTTGAGTAAAGCATGTTGCAAAAATTGGTGGATAACATCATGGTAGTAACTGCAAATACTGTTTATATAGACATAGATATAAACTTTACCAATACAAGTCAGCACTTAAAGGTAATGATTAAAACTGCAGAGCAGCTGTTTAACACTTTTTATTTTGTTGTGACTTTTTTTGTTAAACCAGTATAATGGGTGTCATTTTTATTTCCATTCCATTCTCAGCAGTAAATGATAAGATAATATGTCCTGTCCCCCCCCCCCCATCTTTTGCCT